CTCTTTGAGACAGGGTTTACCTTCATGCTGTGTCTTGCAGAGCAGCAGGCAGGAGTTGTGAGCTGTGTGACAGCTGTAGGTGAAAAGTTCACCATCTGATCCCCTGCAAGTGCTGGCTACTTCTGTGTCTATTTTGCTCCCATGGTGATCACAGCTCTAGAGTTTGCTTCCTCCACACCCCTAAGATGAAACCAGACTTCCTTCTTTAGTTTTAAGGTGTGTTATGAAGCACAGATTCCAGTTTTTATAGACATTATGAACACTGGATAATTTGAGAAAAGTATTTTGAAGTTTTAGGAGTGAATTGGTGATATGCTGACAGATTTTGGTGCTTCTGGAATGTCTTACATATTGGGCAGGCAGGTGATTTAGAGGTGGATCAGGTATTCCTATAGTCCAGTTTGTGGGGCAAAGGGAGGTGGATCCATTTGCCAACTGGTAGGGCAAGAGATAGAGGAGATTTTGTTGCTGTGAAGAGAAGAGCCTGTACCAGGTTCCCCTGCACATCTTTCCTGCCCAGCATTCAGCGTGGCTCAGGTGGGGTGTGCAGCACATGGCTCTGTGGCCCCTCTGAGAACCTCCCCTCCACATGTGCTGACCTCTTGGGCTCTCTCTGTGGTGCCTGAAAGGTGGTCAAGACTTTAGGATGGGTAACACTAATAATATAATAATATAAACTGAAGAATATGACAATATTTTATCGTTATTTACACCTGACTACAGTCCTGAGGAGGTTTGAAATGTCTGTCTTACGTTTCTCTGATTGGTATTTTGTGACTAAATACAGATGAGCATCACATCCATATACAATCTACAAATTTATTCTTTTCCTCAGTGAGTCTCCTGTAAAGGTTTCCTTTTGCCAACAGTCAGGTGCACACATCTATTTAGGTGTGATGCACATGTGCATCTACCTGATTCTGTTGGTAGTATTTTGTTTCTGAAGGTCACCACATTTAAATATACATTTGATGGTATGGCAATGAGGTTTGCTTAAGGGTGGTAATGAGCAAACTCCATGCTAAAGATCCTTATCCTTTGCTTTCCAAGTGCTATTACAATAATTGAAAACATGCATTATTAGGCCCTTAGAAGTTGATTACAAGAACTGTAATTTTGCTAGATTTCCTAGATTCTTCTGTGTTGATGTCAAGGGGATCTGCACTGTCCATTCATAAATGGAGAAAATACTGATCTATAAACACTCTAATTTTCAGTAGCAGTTCAGTTGCTTCTGTATTCTGCAGACAAGCAGCCTCATTTGGTGAGATTTTGAATGTAGCATGCAGATTATCAGGCCTAACCTCCACTTTTCATCAGAAAGACCCTCATTTTATATAGTAGGGATTAGCACAGTTAAATTGTATTTTGAAATGGTTTCTTCAGCCCCCTATCTGATTAGGGCTGGTTTTCTGATTTAGAGGATTTTACTTTATCTCTCTGCCTTATTCTCACTCATTTGAGTGTATTTGCTTTACTTCTCGTGGCTGGGTTATATTGCACTCCCAAATCTGTTGATATGAAGGACTGGGCAAAAGCATAGCAAGCCATTCCTTCAACTCCCAGTTTCCAAGGTAAGGCCAATCAGCTTTTGTTGAAACAGCAGTCAGGGATTGCTTTATCTCCCGTACTTGTTTTTTAACTTGTTGGTGCCAGATGCTTCAGTGCATGCAGAGCCAGGACTTGCACTCCATGGATTAGTGGTGTCACTTCTGCACAAAGGCAAAATTTCAATATTGTTTTTCCCTGATCTAGTAATGAGGCTGACATAGTAATTGGGACTCCAGACATCATGCTTTCTGTCTCTGAGCTGGATTTTAACTCATTCTGTGTTTTCAGCATTTTTCATGTCATGACAATTTTTCATATTTCATTATTAAAGAACTTTAACTATCTTTTCTGATTTGAGTCCTGTGCCTTAGTCATGTCTTTGCTTACCTGCTGTCCTGGTTGAAAAGAAACAAGATAAGTTTTCATCCAAATCCTACAGTGCTGTTTTCTAGTATTTGTGAATATCTAGTCATGTACATACACTTCACAGGTTTTAATAAAGTAAAAATCTGGGGGAGGGTGCATTTTTCTAACAGCAGTTCTACTCTTTGAGGTAAAACTATTCTCTTTACATGTGTGTTCTTTGCTGTGAAAGTTGATAGTATTTTATTTTAAAAATAGAAAACATAGCCCTTGTGACTCCCCAGTGGCACAGTCTGAACACTGACTAAAGTACTCTTCAAAAAGCCACTGGGAATTTACTACTCCTGATTTACAGCTGAAGAAAATGGGGAGATAGTTTAGCTGGTTTAGTACTTTCACTCTGGTGGAGAACAGAGATTGGATTTGAGAAATGGGTGATTCTGAGCCTTGTGCCTCTTTTCACTAGTGCACAACCTGCCACAGTGGACATAGGCAGATTAAACCTCTTAGCTGATTAGAGTTGGTTTAAGGCTTTTTGGTTTGTATTATATATCTGTTCTGTTCAGAGATAAGAGTGAGAAATCATGAAACCTGTAGCTTACATTTAAGAAACCTGTAGCTTACATTTAAGAATTTGGTAGGGCTGTGTTTCTGCAACTAGGGGTGGTGCAGTGCAAAATACATAGATTTTTCAGCAGGATACCCTGAAGGTTATGGCACTGGGTTAATACCCGATTTCTGTTCTCAGACCTATAGCAGCCCACCATATGAGTGTAGGAAAATCACTTCTGTGCTCAGGGTCTGATTTGTTCTGTTAATAGAATGATAGTTAGCCCATTCTCTGTATTTTGAGACCTGTTAAGGAGTTTAATTAATTACAGACACGTGAATGCTATGGCTCTGTCCGGGAGGTTGTTAGCACTGAGTAAAAATGGAGATTTGGTGAAAAAAGAGCAACATTAGCAAATGTTGAGAAAGACAATTTCCACTTCAAAAAGCTAGTTGTGTTCGCATAAATATGTCCAAATGTGCACACACACATGAAATACATGTAACATGGTTATATAAGCAAATGAGTTGTTTTCATGTGGCTTTAAAGCTTCAACACTTCATGCTTCTATAGACCGGTGGTGTTCACTTGCACTCTCTTTGAAAGTGAAGTAAATTGACTTGAGTCTCTGCCTGGTTTAGACCTTGGAGTCTGGATAACTTTGAAAACTTATTTGTGGTGTTTAATCTCACTTGAACTCATGTTGAGTTTTGTTTTCTGTAGAAGTAGAGGGGGATCAGGTTGGGCAGATGAGTATCCAGCCAAGGTGATACAGATCTGAAGTGCCTTATCTTCTGATTTTGGCCCTTGATCCTATGTGCAAACCACCAGAGGATTCATATATATTAGCTTGGAACACAGACTTGTACAGTATATTGTTATTTCTGTATCAATTGCTTATCCTGTATACAGTGCACACACCAATTAGGTTTGGACCGTGTTGTGGTAGACATTATAAAATATGGTAAATAGCATCATCTGCTTCTAAGAGTTTTTATCCTAAAGAAAATAAACCCCAAGATCCTGCAAACATGCTGCATTTATGTAAATGCCTCTGATACCACACAGAAATCCATGAATGCCCTGTGCTGTTCTGATTATTGTATAATTTACTATACAAATATATACTTCCCCTCAGTCAGAAATCTAGTATACTATTTTATATACAGTTTAGAGCAAAACAAAAATATCAGATTAGCATAAACCAGTTCCAGCAAAAGCTTAAGAGAGAAAGCAGGAAAGGAAAAGACCTTTATTCAAACAAAACAATAAGAATTTTAAAAGGCAAATGTCTTCAAAAGGAGGGGTTGATTGAAGACTTGACCATTGGGGTGGTCCTCACTCCTTATTGTAAGTATGTAACTTCTAAGTCATTAAAAATTCCTGTCAGCCATGTTATTAAAAAAAAAAAAATCTGAACTGATTTAACTCTCTTTTTTTAAAAAATTAAATATTACTGCTTTAAAATAAGTCTTTCTTGAGTTTGCTCATGATCATAATTACATTTTTTGTGAAGGCATTTGTGATGACAGTCATAAAGGAATCGTGGTTGCTGGAATTCATTATGAAGCAGGATACTACAGCTGACAGCTTTGTCTTAAAGCAGGCAAATTACAGATTTCTCTTTTAGGAAGCAGGTAAAGACAGAGTACCTGGAGAAACAAAAATGGAGAGAAATTCTGAGGTCTGTAACTTTAAGAGATCCATAACTAGGGAAATATTGTCCACAAAATAATTGGTTCCAAGTCAATTCATGTGTCTGCTGATTGCATGCAATTGCAGCTCTCCATGTGCAGCAACTTCTAGATATGTTCTCAGAATTTTGTTAAAAAAACCTGGATTGTAATGACCTTAAGGCAGAGAGGTCATCTTTATTTGAGAGAAGATAATTTTATGTTGTTTACTCCAAGTTAATATTTGGTGTTGGCCTAGAAGCAAATTATTCTGGATAAAGGTCAACATTACACAGCTAAATCTCATGTATATACACAGTTAAAGCTACATGTGTTTTTTTTCTCACCCAGGCAGTTTGTCACAGTGTGATCATTGTGGTTGACTCAAGAAAAGGAGAAAAACCACTTAGCACAGTAACTTGAGCTGTTGAGTTTTCATATGTGGTATATAAATTTCGCATTTTTCATAAATGTGTTGTACACACAAGCATCACATAGATTCATTGGTACATTCCATATTATGTATGCTGTACAGGAGGTGTTAGAGAAATGCAAGTTTAAAGTAATTTAAAGGGCACAAATGGATGTGGCAGAGACAAGCCTAAGCACCATATGTGTTAATTTTGGGATTTTTTTGGTAGGAGTTTACTGTGCTACTACTTGTCTAAATTTGTACATGAAAGCTGCAAGAGGATAAAAGCTGATGTGAAGGAAAGGGTGAAGTTATATAAATTTTGACTGTTTATAAACAATCTAAAACTTAGAATGTGTATTGTTTTAACTCATTTGAAAATGTGTCTATTTTGCTGACACATTTTATAATTTGAAACTAACACTAAAAGACTTTTGTGCTTTGTGTGCAGGTATATGTCTAGAGTCCATGGTATGCATCCAAAAGAAACCACACGTCAGCTGAGTTTAGCAGTCAAGGATGGTCTCATTGTGGAAACCCTGACCGTGGGGTGTAAAGGGTCAAAAGCTGGTATTGAGCAAGAAGGATATTGGTTGCCAGGAGATGAGATTGTGAGTATAAAGTCTTTGAGAAAATAAATCACGATTTCTGATCTCTTAGCATGAAACTTGTTCTAATTTATATTTCAAACTATTTATAGATTCTGTGTTGGTGCTTGTGAACAGGGAAGTAATGCACTCTTAAATTTTTTTAACCTTTTCTGTTCCATAGAAGCTCTTTCCTCTTGAACTCTGTGTTTTCTTCTATGAAAAACTGGCAAAGTCCTTTGCTGGGTTATGCCTCACTTTTATGTTGTGTTCTCTTCTACAGTTGTACAGGAAGACAGTAAATATTATTGGTATTACTTGAAATCCTCAGACGTTCTCAAATGCCAAAGATGGTGTATTTAAAAAAAGAAAAAAAAAAAGAAGTCACAAAATTTTTAATCTTGCTTTAATCTGAATCTGAATAACAAAGAACTCCCCTTCAGAAGTGCAACATGAAATTATAAAATGATATGCAAACACACATGAAAAGATGTGTTTTACTGATATTCGTGAACACCAGGGCATTCAATTAGAAAGGATTTTCTTAGCAAATCAGCTACAGGCACCCAAGTACTGTTCCACTGGATGTCTAACATAAATATTAAAATCCATTTAAATAGGTTGAAAGTTACGTGAAGAGAAAAAAACCCATGGTTTTGATATCCCTCCACAGCTGAGGTGGAGCACACTCACAAAGTGCAGATAGTCACACAGACCAGGAAAAAGCTTGAACAATTGTTTTGCCTTGTTCAGAAGCCCCATCTCTTTATTTACAAGACAATATTTTCCTAACTAAAAAGAGTTTTGCAAAGCTTTAAAATACCTGAACTAGGAACTATTGCTTTGGAATATAAATTGCATTAAATACTGATAAAAGGGTCAGCATTGTCTCAGACATAGCTAATACATTAAATTTTGAGGAAACCCAGAAAAACTCTGAAAACTACCAAAATGCTCCTTGCAATATGTGAGTTACCAGTAAGATCCTGAAAGTGAAGCAATGTATTGCTTTTAGTTTTGTGGAAACAAGCAATATCCATAACAGAAAACATTATCATCAAAATTATCTCACTTACATGAATTTAAAGTATTGAAATACCTCAATTTCAATACATTGTATTTAATGTACATTATGTCACTGTTAAGATTTTCATTCTAATGTCATTAGAAACCCCCAAGGGAATTTTTAAAAAGGGTATGTTACTGTTCTCCCTGGGAGGAAACATTTCTAAACTCCAGCTTAGCTCTTTTAGGTATTTCTTGCATGAATTTTATCTGTTTAGAAGTGATATTAACTGTGTAGGCTCAACAAGACATAAAGCCTGAGATCTGTGATTATCTCAAGTATTCTGTATGTTTGTTTCCTGTATTGCTAAGAGAAAGGAAAAAAAAATTATCAAAATGCCTCACAATAGCCATTTCTTATATAATCATTCAAATAATGTTCCTGCTGCTTATTAGCAACATTTCTTTTCCAAAACTTGAAAGAATTTACATCCTGTAAATTCCCAGTGAGTCATTAAAATTGCACAATTATTTTATGTCTGAGCAAAAAATGCTGTCTTTGACAGAAGATGCTGTTCAAGTCACATTTTGAATAACCCTTTAGTTAGAAGCAGACTGCATTTTCAGTATTACTGCTAAGCACTGATACTTTGGGCTGTGACCATATGTGTGGTGGCTGTCTCAGTAGTTCAGAACACCACACTTGACTTAACAGTTTTATGCAAAAATAAAAATCAGCTTCTGATCCAGGCCATGTTTCAAAAGTACCCAAACCCAAACTTTTTGTTCCTAATACTGAATCAAAATGCTGCAGACTGATGAAGCAAAACACATTGACTTGGTATAAAGTCATTCCCTTTGTTCTTTAATTCAAAAAGTTTTAATGAGTAACAAAGTGTCATTGTCATCACTCGACATCAGATCAGTATTTTCCATTCTCCGCCAATTGGTGCAAACCCATCAAGTTTGGTATGTTCTCTGCTTTGGACACAGGGGTAGTTTTACAGATGCTTTGTCTGCACTTGATCAAGAGACAGTTTGTAGTTCTTTGTAATTCAGCACTGCTCAAATCTGGTACTAATGACTGTTGGACCATGAACTCAAGTTACATTTCAGTGAGGACAAATACACAGAATTCTTTCTGGAGGTGCGCTTGGAGGAGATGGAACTCTTCAAAGCAGGGTATTAATGTTCAAATAGGGATTTCAGGCTCAAACTTTGTCACTTACAGAGCCTTCATCTAATTGTCAAATTTGATTTGACTGGTACTATCGGAACTTGGAAAGCTCAAAACAGGAAAGAGAAGACTTAAGAACCAGTCCACCACCCACTGACACCAGTGCGGGAATGCTTTTGGATTTTAGCTTCTTTCCTGGCACCACAGTGGAAGTCAGCAAACACAGGCTGCTCCAAGGAGATAGCAAAGGGATGCATTCTTATCAGCCCTCCCCCCATTTTTATTTGAGTATTTGCTTGGTGATTTTTTACACTTTTGAAGTTTTGGATCTGAATTTTAGCAGGTGAAAAGATTACTGGCCTTGGCCACAAAACTGCTGAGCACCTTTGTCTGTTACTGTAAGAGGTGCCTCACTAGAGGATGCCACATGACCTGAAAGTGCTGGTTGTAATGGTGACTACAGACTGATGGCTAAATAGTGACAATAACTGAAAGTATAGAGATTATGAAAGTGCAGCTGTACTTGGAAAAGAGTAATTTGATAATCTGTGATGCTTGCTTAGGGGTTTCCAAACACCTGCCCTATCCAATAGGTTGACATAATGATAGATCTATGCAGTGAGGACATGATCTCTGATAGGGTTAGCCCTTAGCCTTCAGAAAAATTATACTACTTTGCTCTCATTGTTCTAGCAGCATGCTGAAGCTACAGTAAAAAAAATTTATAAAACCTCACATATTTAGTAATATACAAAAGACAAGCTGAGGTGCAAAGACAAAACAGTTTGAGGGCACCAGGAGGTTCTCCCAAAAGGGACAGCTCGTGAAAATTAATGTTCAGAAAAACTGGAAAAAAAAAAAAAAGAATGGTCGGATTTAAGAGTGGAAAATTATTCTGTCAGATACACGTGAGAGAAATATTTTTATGTAAGTTACTAAATTTAGACTGTGGAGTTGGTAACAAAATGTACTGTATTCCAACTGACATTTAAGGATTGGTACCTAAACAAGAACTTTGCTGCAAATATTATACCTCCAGGGCTTGTGCAGGTATTCATTTTGTTTGCTCATTTACCATGTGTCCAGATGTTTTGCACATTTTCAAAATGTGTTCTCAGCTTACAGGCCTTCTTATCTTGCAGATGATTAATGCATTTACACAAAATAAATGAGAGAAGAATTTATTTTCCATTTTTATTGAGGATTTTAGTTAGGAATTTTGCATTTTTTTGTTTGTTGATGCATTATTATACAGTTGAACAAATCTCTTCAGCTTCTTGCCTTGCAAGGGAAATGTCAGTCCTGAAGTCTGGTAATGGAAGTTTACTTTTTTCTTTTTTTCTAAATGCTTTGTTTCTGTTTCTCACAGAACTTCTGGAATTTGGACATGTTATTTATTATCAGTATAAAAAAAATCTTCTTGATCTTTGGATTTAGAAAATAATTTGTAAATCAGTGTTATTAACTTTGTTTTGAATGCAGTTGATAAAATAGAAAGGAAATTTAGTTCTTCAAGAAAATAAGAATGAATCTTCTTACCTATTCATTACTATTTTCTGTTCTGCCATGATTTTATGTACTTTTAACTGTGTAACATAGTACTGTGTCTAACCCCAAGAAAAAAATTGAATTTAAGTACCAATGTCCTATGGCTTTATGAGGGGATTAGATGCAGTTTTTAGAGTTAGTTTGTCTTACTCACATTTTTCTACAGACAGTGTGCACTGAGCTATTTTGAGCATTTAATGTGCTTCTTCTCCTCATGATTAAAGTCATAAAGCTGCTCTGACCCAGAGAGAGGCTTTATGAATGTATAATTTCAATTTTCTTGTGTTCATGAAGCCAAACAATATTGTGTAAAATGGAGATGTGTTCATAACACAGGTTCATTGTTTGCATCTGATTGCAACATACCCCACAACACTGCTGTGGTTTGAAAATGGTTCATAGTGGCCAAAGTCTCTAATGAGATGTGAAGAGTGAGGCTTCACACTTACTTAAGGCACTGTGAGCTATTTCTTCACTGAAGAATGTATAAAAGATGATTATATTTTCAAGAGATTATTCTTTTACAGAGTTCTGATTTCTGATCATTTGATTGATTGTCTATTGAAAGAGGCAGCAATTCCTCTGGCTGTTTAAGTCTGACTGTGGGGTTCAGTTACAGTCATTCTCCTGTGTATTTGGTCCTCTCTGTATCTAAATTATGGCCTTTCCAATTCTTCCTTCTAATGATGTTTGAGTTTTGTGGAGAGCACACTGTTTGGAGGGGAAGTTTCTTTGCTTTTTCCTGCTTTCAGAAAACATTAGAGATGCAACTTGTTTTTCCCCAACACGCACGTGTCTTCTCAGCGTGCTATTTCATTACTTTCTCAATTTTAAATTGAGAAAGTACTGGTGTTTGCTCAAAGCAACTCCAGATACTTCCAAGTCACAAAGGTGCTTAAATAAACTATCTTGTCACTCTGTCTGTATTCCCATCATTGTAACATTTGTTGTAACCCACTGTCAGCACTGTGGGTCTTGAAGGTGACTTTTTAACCCAAGTGACCTTAGGCACACACCCAGTTATTTTTGTGATTTGATGAGTTGCAGGTTTGATTTTGCTAGGATCAGTCTATGAGAAAGGAGTATTTTTGGCTGTTATGTTTGTGTTAATCTAAATTATTTTAGATTGAGCAAAGGCTTGATTCCTTGCTTGCCATGCTTAATTGCTTTTGTAATTATATTGATTTTTCCATGCTAGGTCAGTATTGGTAGCCAGAAGCCGTTTTTTGAACTGACTATGTCATCTTGAGTCTCCATAAATGTGAAGATAATTGTAAAAAGCTTAAGAACTGTC